GCTTACATTATTCCTATCGGCAACTCGATGAAGAGCTGTCATCCTCATTTCACAGCTAAGAAACCTGAGACCTGAAACCCAGTCACAGATGACAACTGACAACTGGGACTTTGAGTCCCTGGCGTAGGTCTTCCCAGCCAGCACTGGCCGCCCACAGAGCTCAACTTTTCAATACTCGAAACTACAAACTGAGGTTTGCCGGAGGGGTGGTGGGTAGGGGGATGCGTGAAGGAGGGCACTTGCCGTGAGACACACCGGGTGTTGTATGGAAGTGATGAATCACTGAATCCTACACCTGAAACTAATATTACACTGTATGCTAACTAACTGGAACTTAAAGAAAAACTTGGAGAAAAAAAGGAAAATTAATACTTGAAGCTACCTGTAATGCAAGAGATAACAAGCAGTTTTTACAACATGAAGTAATAACTAAGATTTGTCTTTAGGTGGGAGCCTCCCTCTGTCCTGGGTGGACCCCCTTAGTCATGTCAAAATAAAATAAGTGTGTGTCCCTCGTCTTGGGCCAAGCCCTGGACATTCACACTGCTCCAACTTTGCTGATTCAAGGGAATTAGCTGGGGAGGTTCTTCACCTGGGAACTCAAAATTTCTTCCCCTTTCCTCTAGGCTGATAGGCAAGACACCCTCCCGTAGTCTTCATAATTCCACAAGCTTCGCTGCTGTGGAAGGTCCAGCAAAGAAAGTTGAACTTCAATCTAGAGGCCAGGGTTTGGATTCTGCCATTAACTAGCAAATCTCGCCTCAGCTAGTCACCTCCATGCCCTGAGTTTCCTCTTCTATTTAAAATGCAAACCTGGGGGCGCCTGGGTGGCTCAGTCGTTGGGCGTCTGCCTTCAGCTCAGGTCATGATCCCAGGGTCCTGGGATCGAGCCCCGCATGATCGGGCTCCCTGCCCGACGGGGGGCCTGCTTCTCCCTCTCCCATTCCCCCTGCTTGTGTTCCCTCTCTCGCTGTGTCTGTCAAATAAATAAATAAAATCTTAAAAAAATAAAAAAATAAAACGCAAACTTGCCATTTTGCTCTCCTGTCCCAAACCCTTCAGGGATGCCTATTGCCCACCCAGTTGAAATTCAAACAACTCCCTCTTCCCGACTGCGTCACCATCTAAACCTATGAGAGAGAGGCATTCAGAGAAGGGGGTTCTGTCCCTTCTGAGCTCTTTTATGTTCAGCCAGGAGGGAGTCAGGCCAACAATGAAGGGAGATGGACATTAATTAGGTTCTGTAGACAACAGCCAGAAGGCTCCTCCTGGAGCTGGGGCTGGCCTCTGGTGGCCCCCTCACCTTCCATCTATGGTTCTCCTTGATCCAATGACTGCCAAGTGTCCTCAGGCAGTCTCCTTCTCTCTGTCTCCTTCTTGGGGTCAGTTCTGTCTAGGGCTCTTTCCCTGTTATGTGTAGCTCTGACACAGTGATCACAAGGCCCGGAACTTCCCCAATCACCAGTTCGGGGACAGAAACTACAAGTGTGCCTGTTACCACAATTGAGCATGAACTTCCTACTCTCCCAGAAATCCACCCTACCGGCCCCCCCGGGGGGGCGGTGCCTGTTTAGAAGCATCATCCTGAGGACCAAGATGAAGTAAAGTGAAAATGAGACAATGCAACCATCCGGAGTTCAAAATTTGCCCTAAAAATTTCCCAGTATGGCCATGGGGACAAAGCTGTCTACCCAGCTCTGCCCACAGGTTCCCTGGGGTTCACCACATTCCCTCCACCCACAACACTCAGCCCTGAGCTGTTCCTCTCCCCCCCGCCGCCGCCCCCCGCCCAATTCATTACACATTTGTCTTTTCCAAGAGCTCTTCCAAGATGGGAAAGGGCATTGTTTATATGGTAGTGAAAGCATGGGTTCTGGAGTCAGGGATCTGGACTGTAATCTTAGCTCTGCCACTCACCCAGTGAGTGATGCCGACAAGTGACTTAATCTCTGACCTCACCGCTCCATCTATAAAACACTGGTAACAAAGCCAATCTCATGGGGGTGGTAATAAGGATTAAATGAGACAATGTTGGGACACCTGGGTGGCTCAGTCAGTTGAGTGCCTGCCTTCAGCTCAGGTCACGATCTCAGGGTCCTGGGATGGAGCCCCACATCGGGCTCCCTGCTCAGCGGGGGGCCTATTTCTCCCTCTCCCTCTGCCGCTCCCCCTGCTTGTACTGTCTCTCTCTCTCTCTCTGACAAATAAATAAATACATAGAATCTTAAAAAAAAGAGAGAGGGAGAGAGAGAGACAATGTTGGCACCTTCATCGGGATACCTAACATTAGCTGGTATAACAAAACTTCCCAAATCTCAGTAACTAGATACAACAAGAGTTCACTCCTCTCTCAAGTCACAGGCTCACACAGATTGGGTGTCTTTACTGAATAGCTGCCCTCCAAGAGGTGATTCGGGGACCCAGGCTCCTTCCATCCCCTTGGAGTCCTCCCCTGGACCCCCGCCACCTGGCTCACAGAATAACAAAGACAGAGTTAGAGGCCAGGCCAGGAAGTAGCACCCATCAATTCAACTTTACATCGGTTAAAACCCAGTCACACATTCCACCTAACTGCAAGGGAAGCAGGAAATATAGCTGTTACGAATACCAGAAATCATAGAACCGTAGTGTGGACTTTTTAGAACACGGAGAATACATTACTGAATACAAACCAAAGTAAACATACGAATTTCTTTTTTAAAAAAGGTATCGTAATCATATGTTGGACATAATTCCAGTTCTGAGTGCTTTCTATGAAGCAGCAAGCTACATGAGAATAGCCTATATTCAAACTCAGTCTCTGCCTGAAAAAAACGTTAATCTATGTTAGCCATTGTGATGTTCTTATCTTAAACCAGGAAGTCTGATTTATGCACTTAACAAGGTTTTTCAAAAGTGCCATGTTCCCCAATCTCTAAGTATATACTTCTGTCTGGAACCCCCTTCCTCTCCACTCATCACCCCACTACCTCCCACTCATCCCTATCAGCTTGGATGTCACCTCCTCCAAGAAGTCTTCTCTATCGTCTACCCCCATTGGGGTCGAGTGCCTGTTTCCTGTGTCCCCACACTAGTGTGTACTTCCCTTCCCAGCACACCTCTCACAGCATATTAAAATCTCTCTTTACTTTCTGTCTCTAGCTAAATTGTAAATTTCTTGGGGGAAGGGACCTTGTTCTGGACACCATTTTATCCTCAGCTTTAACACAGTATCTGGCCCAAACAGAGTGTACAGAAAATGTTTGTCACATGAGTGAATTAAGAAATCTGACCCTCGGGGCGCCTGGGTGGCTCAGT